TTCACTTACTTTGTCTGTTTTGTGGCCCCCACCAGTTCTTGCTTGGAGGCCAATATCATTGCAGATATTCCAATGAACCATTGTTGCAAATTTGTCATGCCATTGTTTGTTGTCATTCTGTGCAATCTTTTGCAGCAGCTAACTAGGTGGCCCACTGTTTCTTCAGCTTCTTTGCAGAGGCAGCTGTCTGTTGCTGTCTTCTCAAGTCTGGCTTTGTAGGCATTTGTCCTTAAGGCTTGGTCTTGTGCAGCCAGAATTAGCCCCTCCGTCTCTTTCTTCAACTTTCCTGCTCTTAGCCATTGCCAGGTCTTGTTTTGCATACCAGTGTTCTGTTTTTTGTTTTGTACTGGCCATGTAATACGTTGTCTTGCCATGTCTCTTTTCTATCCTTCATTTGGTTTTTCTTGAAGGTTAGTCTGGTCTCTTCAGTATTCAGTAAGCCTTCATGCAACTTCTTCACTGTCCTTCAGATATCCCTCTAATGCCTCGGTAAGCAGAGTTTTTGCATAATGTGTCTGAAGTAGGATGATTTGAGCCCGGTCATCTGTGCCTCTAGTGAAAACTCTGGGTTGATTTGATCAATGATCCATTTGTTTGCTTCTGTGTGAAATAATCTCTGTTCAACGTGATCCTTGACAGTGGATCTATTAGTCTCAAGGGACAGGTTTGGACTGGGTTGCATCCACATACATGTCTACAAGATCAAATATATGCCCCTTCCTTCACGGACATATCACCATTTCTTTAAGAACCTCCAAGAATTAGTTTTCTCTCCAGCGGAATTCTCTGACAGCTGCTAACTTGGTGGTGTGTTTCTTGCTCAGCAAGACAGTGTATGCTATTAAGACAATGTAAACAGAAGACTATTTAAAGCTAATCTTATGCTCCATGGAGATGAGGCCCACTTTCATCAGATTAGTGTCTGCATAAATTAACCAATTCTTGAACAACCCAAATTCTTGAACAACCCAAATTCTTGAATGACCACAGTGATCAGAAGCAGGTACACCATCTATTTTCTCTAAGAGGCTCCCAGATGCTGATATAAAAGTAGTGAATGACTGCTTCTGCTTGTATTTTCTTTATAGCCTGAGCAGGAGGGAATTCAGAGGTACAAGAGTATATTTTTACTTGAAGTAGAATATAGAATCATAAAATGTAAAGACTGAACATCTACTCTGATGTATCTTGCAGTGGTTTCTTATAAAAGCACATAATTTATTTGAAGCTTCTCGCCACAGACACCGTTAACTCTTTTGGAGGTCTAACAGACTCATGATACAATGGGGAAAAATTAAAGGTTGTCTAACCAATGATAGATCCAAGACTATTGATCAAATGTTTAACAAAAGGTTCCCATTCCAAATCAGTTAAACTAATGCCAACTAATGAAGTCTGAATGATCCTCAGGAATTATGTAAGGAAGTGAGAAGAAGAAGATAAATCCAGAGACGGACATGCAAATGGTTTCATTGAAGTAATAAACTCAATATTTATTTACTTTCTAATCTGTTTGCTTACAAGGCTTGCAGTCCACTCCAATCATCCAGCTCTGAGTGGTTTACAGCTCCCCAATGTTTAATTGGGATTCAAAACAATATAAAGCAAAATTAAAAGCAAAATCATTCATTATAATAACATAAAACCAGGAGACATACTCAAAAGAACAAAGCCAATTTCTCCTCAGGAGGGATCCTGTGATGCCTTTTTTTTTACAGTTAAAAAACAACAACAACTTTCTTCTTAGTGTTTTTCTGGTAATGTTTTTCTCTTAATCCACAACTCTTCTGAGTCAATATCCTTGAATTATAATGGAAGTATGCCTAGTCTTTTCGCTTCGATAATGAATAGTACAAATGTGAAAGTGATAAAAAAGGGATTACCCATTAAAAATTCAACCACCATACTAGATAGGGATTTAGTAACAATTTTATTAGGCAAAATAACAATAATAACAACAACATGGGAGATAAATCAATAAATATTAACATTTCTGATGTTCTTAGATCAGATCTGTGTCTCTCTTCCTATTTCCAACATTTTCAAGACCAAATATTTGGAAAGTTTTGATGGATCTGAAATCCTCCGATCTCTGCAGCGAACAATCTCCTCATGCAAATTAGACACAATGGAGGACCCATGTTAGCATTAGCATCCACATTTGGTAGCACAAATACTAAAATTGGAAAGGTATAGAGAAGATTATTGTGGCTGTTGCTTAAAGATGATATGAACATTCACGAAGTGTTCCATGTTTCTATAAAACCTTCATTGCTTCCCACCAGCCCTGGCTATGTTCAATGGGTGGTCCTCTTGCTTTCCTGCAAGTTCTGCTTTGATGATGGCTTATCTTCAAGACAAGCCTATTTAGTGAGGCAGGCTAAGAAATTTGGCATAAGCTCACAGGGAGAGGCAAAAGTAACATTCGTACTTGCATCCTTCAGCCAGACTACCCCATTAGTTTTGTAGCAATATTTTCCCCCTTCTGCTGTGAAATAAAAATGGAGGATCCATTATGATGCAAGTTCACTGAGAAAATGTGTTTTGTTCCATTCATGAGAACAAATTCTTTGCTCAGAATCCGTCTAATATGGGTGAAATCAATAAGTGAGTTTAATCAATAAGTGAGTTTTATCTTCATCTCATTGTACCAACAGACATTTTCTTCACTCATGCAGTACATAATAGCTTTATTCCTTCTAGGATATTAAGATGACTTTCCTGGAAATCGAGAATCTATGAAGACCTTATAAAACCTGAGAATATCAATCCTTGATTATTATTATTATTTTTTAATTTAATGGTACTTATAACCTGCTCCAATGCTGAATGACTCTGGCTATTGGACATCAACAGATACAAATGAAGGAAGGAGAAGGAGAAGCATGAGAAGCAAGGTCAGAATGAAACCAAATAAAATAAAATAAAATAAAATAAAATAAAATAAAATAAAATAAAATAAAATAAAATA